ACACTCCCCAAACCCTTTCCCCACACCCACAACTCTATACCCACCGCACTCAATCCCTCCCTCCACCAAAAGTTCCTCCATAAGCTTTTAGAACCATCATCCGACGTTCCAAAACCTTCTCCTTCTTCCAACCCACCTGCCAAGTTCACGCCTTTGGAGCAGCAAGTGGTGGACCTCAAGAAGAGGTACCCAGATGTCATTTTGATGGTGGAAGTCGGTTACAAGTATCGGTTCTTTGGCCAAGACGCCGAAATTGCTGTGAGGGTTTTGGGGATTTATGCCCATATGAAGAGGTCGGGGGGAATGGGGGGGAAGAAATCGAAGGGAGGGGGTTTGGGTCTCATGATGTTTTTTTTTCTCTTTTTCTAATTTTGTATTTATTTTAACTCTATTTTATTTGTTAATTATGAAAAGTCGTATTTACTCTAAAATTTGGTTAAATTTAACGGAAAATTAGATGGTAGGACCAATGGAGCGATTAATATATAGTTAAAGGATCATTTAAACGAATAATTTAATTGAGGGACCAAAATGTAAATCGAGTATAAGTTTGAGGACCATTTGAGTAATTTACCCTTACGTTAATATTGCTGTCAAATGTAAGGGTAAAACCATCCATAACCGTCCTATGTTCTCCAAATAGGTGATAAAGTGGTGATACATAGGTGATAAAATAGTGATACAATAATGATAAATGGGTGATACATAGGTCAAAAGTCTTATTTACCCCCACAAATGTAGCATGTGCTGCTCACATGACTAAATTTAATATAAAATGTAACGGTATGACCAAAGCACTGATTAATAAAGAGTTAGTGGACCATTTAAACGAATAATTCAGTTTATGGACCAAAATGTAAATTTGGTATAAATTTGAAGACCATTTGAGTAATTTACCCTTAGATTAATTTAAACCCTCACTTGTATAAAGAAATAAAAAATAAAAAAATCTGAACCCAACTCCAACGGCGGAGACTTGATTTGATTACTAAATTATTTAGACAACGCCACATAAAATTACTAAATTCACAACAAAATGACCTGATATTATAATCCCACGCGCTTTGCTCTTCTACCAACCTTGCATTCGGTGCCTGCCGCGCGTGTGAAACTCCCAACAGTTGTCCAAAAACGGACGGTCATATACGGAGAGTCCACATCCAACATCTCATATGCAGTCCCAATCAGTCCATCTACTACTCAGATCCTCTCCGCTGATTGGGTCGGGTCAGAGTCAGTTCCACGAAATTGACCTAAAACAAATCTACATGTAGGGCCCACCCCCGCACTCAACACTCCCGTGTGCTGGCCCCTCCCTATTTCCTTGGACCCACTCGCTCCACAGGGGCGCGTGTCAAACACATGGCCGAACCTCCCAATTTCCAAAAGATAGCAAGACAAAACAGACAAGCAAAATAAGTACACCATAAACAGACAAAGACAAACATACCTCCAAAAACAAGGTATCCATCAGCCTCAGGCTGGGCAAGAGGAGGAGGCTATGCTCTTCACTCTCTCTCTCTCTCTCTCTCTCTCTCTCTCTCTACTTCAAAATTACTAAAACCCTTCACTACAGTCTAACACTTTTCTAGATCTCTCCATTAGCAACAAGCATGTTCTTTCTTCTTCTTAGAGCGATTCAGCTGCCAGCTTATATTATTTATTAAATAACAAAGTCTCTGTCTTTTCCACACACTACTTTTCCTCATTGTTACTTTCAGCCAATATAGAATAGAAGCATATAGAGAGTTTTATAGAGGCACCTCATTTCCATTTCTTTCTTGGTTTTGCATTTTTCTTTTTAGAAGTACCAAATTAGTAATATACCATGATTTATTCATCAGTTTCTTCTGAAAATCCATGGACAACAATAAGCCCAAAAGTCCTCAGACCTTCAACAAAGCAACGTCCTTTTCACTTAAATCCCATCCTTAGTTTTCACCGCCAAAACCCAGACACCATTAACAGCCCTGTGAACCCAACAGAACCCAAAACCCAGCTCAGAAGCCCCATCTTGATAAACCCAACCCAAGTTATTTACAAAAAAACCAAGAGGAGCAGGATTCATGAGGAAAGAAGAGGTTTTCCCCAACTGGGTAGCCAGCAAATGTTGTTTCTGTGTGGATTTGGGTATTGGATGCAAGGTTTTAGGTGCTTTCCATGGCTGGCGTTGAACTTCCACATGGCTCACAATCTTAACATGCACCCCTCAACATTGCAGCTCGTACAGCATTCTGGTAACCTTCCCATGGTGGCCAAACCCTTTTATGGAATACTCTCTGATGCTCTTTACATTTCTGGTGCGCATAGATTACCTTATATTTCCATTGGAGGTTAGTTACAATTCCCTTGCCTTATTTCATTGATGTCATTCCGTTTTTGTAAATTTTGTTGATAGTTCCCTGTTTTAATATATTCATGTGCTCTGTTTTCTGTCATTGTTGTAGAGATATCTGTTCAATTTTAATATATTTTTTAAATGTTAAGTCATATTGTTTGTGCTTTTTGTTCAGGTTGCGTGTTTATGTTGTTTTTATTCTTTCCTTTGCTTGGTTTACTTTCTTGCCCTTTTCTTCCCGTTTTGATTATGCTAGAGATTCCATTTGTCTCTTCCATGTGCACAATTTCTTTGGTTAATCTGTGGAGACAAAAACTTATTAGATTCCTAAATATAAGGAAACTTCTCTCTTTAAATTGGACAAATTCTACTGCTTTTTGTGCTCATATCCCTGTAAAAGGTAGCTTAACCTTATGCTGCTTTCCTTGCAAGTTGCAACAATGTTGAAGTGGAACCTAAAAACACTGTTTAATGGTGTGTTAACATAGGTATCAATCAGAAAGTAATATGAACCATTTGGAAAGGCAATTAAAAAAAAGGGTATATTTGTCCTCTAAAAACCTATGGGCTATTTCTGATGGAGTTCAAACTTTCAGTTCTTTTACAGGTCCTATCTTGGGGGCCAATGGCAGTTATCCCTGTTGCAGCTAAAGCCCTTCCTACCCTTATGGCATGTGTTCTTCTTAGTAATCTTGGAGCATCCATTACAGAAGTAGCACAGGATGCTCTTGTTGCAGAGTACGGGCAAGAAAAAAATATGAAAGGCCTCCAATCTTATGCATTCATGGCATCAGCTGCTGGTGGAATCCTTGGTAACTTAATAGGTGGATATTTCTTAATGAAAACACCACCGAGAACCATGTTTCTCGTATTTTCAGTGTTACTTTCTGCTCAACTTGCAATTTCATTGAGAATAAGAGAGGAATCTCTTGGTTTACCACAATTGCCAGATCACTATCTTATGAGGAAGCCAATCTTTGAAAGTATGAGAAAACAATTTACTGAGCTGGTGATGGGAATTCAAGAGGAAAGTATTGTTCGTCCTCTTACTTGGATAGTAGCTTCTATTGCCATGGTTCCTGTCCTGTCAGGTTCCATCTTTTGCTACCAAACACAATGTCTACATCTTGATCCTTCAGTCATTGGCATGTCTCGAGTGATTGGCCAATTGATGCTTCTTTCCACTGCCGTACTTTATGACTGTTATTGGAAAAAAATTCCCATGAGAAAGTTGGTTGGTGTGGTGCAACTTGTGTATGCCTTTTCACTTCTTCTTGACCTTCTTTTAGTAAGACAGATCAATGTTAGACTGGGGATTCCAAATGAGGTGTTTGTTCTTTGTTTTTCGGGGTTAGCAGAAACTATTGCGCAATTCAAACTCTTACCTTTCACAGTGCTATTTGCGAGTTTATGTCCTCGAGGTTGTGAAGGATCTCTGACTTCTTTCTTAGCATCAGCCTTGTGTTTATCATCAATAGCTAGTGGGTTTTTAGGCGTTGGATTGGCTTCTCTGATTGGAGTAACAGCAGGCGACTACTCAAGCCTGCCTTTTGGAATTCTGGTACAGTTCATTGCGGCTTTACTTCCTTTAGGATGGCTTTGTAATTTACCCATGTCAGAAGCTGTTGTTGGGAAGGAGAGGAAGAGAGGCTTGAGTAGAAGAAGTCTGAAAAGTAGAAGGGTCGGTAGAGTGGTATATGGTTCAGTTTCTATCTACAGACGCGAGAGAGAATCTGAGGCATAAAAGTGAAAGAACTACTTCTATTTTATGATCAACACTCGTTTTCATATAGCAAGCCGATTGAAAGTGGGAGCAATATGCAGGATTACCCGAGTGAGAATCTGTAATGTAGAGGTGAAGCAGCTACTTCATAGGGTTGCATTTTAATGAGAGCAGGAGAAGTGAAGGTACAAGAGGAATCTAGGATTGCCTCAATGCTGTTCGTTTTCTACAAACTGCTCGATGACTTAGAAAGAGGCTTCATCTGGGATATCAGTTTCAATCGTAGTTTCTGTGACAAAACTGAAGTTGTTGCATTGTTGCATCAGGTTAAATGGTGCTGAACTCTGCAAAAAGCAGTCAGTATATTGTAATATAACTTTTGTTTCACAAATCTCATATGTATATACGATCAGTGCTGAGCTCTTATCGCATAACGAAAACGGAAACAGAAGAAGTTAAGGAGTTCCAGAGCTATGAGGTGCTTGATGTAAAAATTGGTAGAACAAGTACCTGGGATCTGCGTTGTGCATGGAAGTCTCTTCTCTCTGCTCCCAAGCCCCATCTAACAGCCTCCTTTCCTTCCTTGTCCAAGTGCACAAGGTACTGGTAGCTTAAGCCACGAAAAGAAAGAAAGAAAAATAGAAAGCCCGATTGATATTCTCCTTTGTGTGGCACAAAATTTTAAGATATATTCCAACTCTAAATTGGAGATGAGGCTCAGGCGAACTCTAGCCTACTACTTCCTTTTCTATAAAACCAAGAGTGTCTTCTTTTGTTAGAGAACAGGAGAAAATGACATGATTCATATCACCATCCACATAAATTGTCACATCATTTTTACAACTTTTTTTCAATTTCGAACATCCCTTGCTAATAACAATTTGACATAGTGGCACACAATCTTTACTTTGTTGGAAGTCCTCGGAACTCAAAGTTCACAGACGGCAATATTTTTTTTAACAGGAAAAGAAAAAGATCTCTGAAGTCTCTTGTGCAGTAATTAAATGTCGAACAAATCTACCAATCATTCTTTTAAATTCTCCCACCAGCATCTGGCAAGGATTTTGTAAAATCATATCATATGGCATACGGGACCAAGTTGGGAATGCTAACCGTGAAATAAACAGAGGCATGATGCCCACAGGCTCAAATATTCATAATTGAAAGCGGAATACAAATACAAGGTTTCATCAAGGAAATTTTAATATAATACAATAATTTCAGTTGTGTACTATAAATGTACTGTTGGACAACCACCAAACCCAAAAACTTATAACGAACGAACTTTGAATTACTTGACCACATCTTTGCTCCTCTTGATTTTCACAGAGCATTTCTTTCTTCTCCAGGTAAGTTCAGCTTCGCACGTGCTCACCTTGCTGCAGAGCTTCGACATACTCAGTTCCTTCCTACCTGCAGCTAGCTACCATAACACAAATTCAGCAGTTTACTTTACTTTCAAAAAAAAAATCCCATGGTGGTTTATGTTAACAAGCGTTGAAGAAGGATATACTAGGAAATTATTTTCAAAATTTATGGAGACAAAAAACTTCTTATAAGATTCCCATGGAACTACGAAAACTTGAATTCAGAATGCGATGGAATTATAAATGGTCGATAAACAAGGAAAACTAGATGTAAAGAGGTAATGGTGCCCCATAAAATTAAAAAAAAAAGAGCAAAAATATTTGGAAATGATAAAGGCTCAGGAATCAGGACTCACAAGTCACAAGCACAAGCACAAGCAAAAAGAAATAAAAATGGAGAAAGAAAACATAGCTAAACAAGGGAGCCCATATTCTGTTGGCTTTTCTATTCTCTCGGTGATTCATTTTATAACTAATAAACACAAACCAAGCCACCCATTTCGCTTTAAAATTAAAAAAATTAAAAGAAAGAAATTACCTTGCCATCATTGCATCGGTGGTGGTTAGGAGTAGGGGGATGGTTCTCCAATTACAAGGGAAGGTACATGTTGAATTTTATAGAAATCCTCTCCATCTTCCTCAATCCGACGGTGGAGTTCTCTAGACATCCATTTGATGATTAATTCCCTGAGATTAGTAAGATGTCTCAGCCCATCTGGAAGTGTCGTCAATCCCCAGCAATATTGAATTTCCAATCGACAGAGACGAGGCATGGCTCCTTCCTCTACTCTCAGCTCTGTTATTTGGTGCCTTCTAGAAACATAAAGAAATTCAAGAGAAGGAAATCCTCCTTTGGAGAAAACCAGTATCTTTGTATTCCCCTCGAAAGAATCTCCTATAAGCTTCAAAATTGTTAGGTTTGGTAGCTTCTCTAGCATTCCCATTTGGTCCTCCTTGAGACCACACTTACTCAATTGTAACTTGGTGAGGTTTGGATAGGTGTGGAGCTCTTTTGCTAATTCTGCTATTGGCCCTACCAATGCCAATTTGTATATACCCCGACAGCTTGATACTATTTGCACAGCTTGCTCTTCACCGCTATTCATTTTGTTCTCCACAATTAGAGACCGGATACGGTTAAGCGTGCTATCGGTAGATTTTAAGATTTCCTCCATATTTTGCAAAGAGCTTGACACTCTTATTCTCAGTTTCCTAAGATTGGTTAATCTACCAACATCTTTCAAATCACAATACTCACTTGAAAGGTTATATAAGGTCTGTAGATGACCAAGAGTAGACAGCTCTAGCTTACCCTTTGCTCTGTAATTCCAGGGTAAATATAAATGTCTTAATTGTTTCATCTTCGTTATCACATTTGGGATGACTATGGTGTAACTGGAAACACGAAAATCAAGAGTTTGCAAGCATATTAAATTACCTAGGGATGGCAGAAACCTTTTTATTCTTGTATTCTTCACACTTAGAAACCTTAAGTGCACCATATTTCCAATTTCACTTGGCAACTGTACTTCTACTTTGTTAAGACCTTCAACCTTCAAAACTCTAAGCACTTTGAAATCCTTCAACGGAGATTGTAATCCTTTTTCTCTTTTTGGCATCCATTCTCTTAAGCCAAAGAATAATAGAGACCTTACGTGCCCATTTGTTTTATACAAATTTATAAATAAACTCAATCCTAGACATGTATTTATAAAAAAACCCAAGCATTATTTAAACATAGAAACACACCCAAAATCAACCCCAAAGTCAACTTTTTGGGTGTGTTTATAAATGAGTTTTGAGTGTGTGTAATGATGGATTTTGGGTGTGTTTATATGTTTAAATAGTGCTTGGGTTTTTTTATAATTTCAACCCCCATTTTGGGTGTTTTAGTGAAACTCCCTTTGTTTTATCTCTTGAAGAAACCAACATATCTGCATTCTCATCCAAGTAAATTGCAAGTCTTCGAATTTTCCCCAATTGTGCTGCCTTGGCTACCATAGAAGAAGAAGTTAATGGATTAGCTGCCTCATTTTCTTGTAAAGAATTGTTAATCTGGAGAAAGCTTTCCTCTTTTGCCTTTAACAAACACATGTCTTGACAGGACCCGCCCCGGAATTTCTCCCCAAACCGGGGCGGACCCCGTATTGATGCCGACATCACACCGATGCCGGGCCCACTTACTAAAAACCCAAGACGTCCTACCAAAATTTTGGCAGAGTCTCCCCTGTAAGATGCTCAAACCCAACAACATTCAACCTGCATAATTTACATAATATAATTCCCAACTGCCAGCATGCTTTCAACATACAACAATTCAAGGTAAAGTGGCCTCCGGCCTCCAGTAACAGCCTAACATGGGCGATAACAAAGCATCTAACAGAATTTGATTACAACAACAGCAGAGTAGAAGGAATTTACACGAACCCTATCTACAGATGAAATGTTTGGAGCTCGCAACTTGCTTGAGCGCTTCCAAAAGCCACTACTGCCTGGGGGGCGCAAAACGGAAATATGTGAGTGGACAAAAATAAAGTTTGCATTTAAAACAACATAGTAACCCCACCGTGTAAAAATAATGCTCAAGCATGCAGTCTCCACATCCATAAATCAAATACTCAAACACAAAGTCTCAAAATCCAATAGCTCTCAAAAATCTCAAACCACAACTCCATTCCCAAAAGTATGCAACTCTCACCAACCCATACATATGTATATATATATATAAGTATAAATATATCTATAATATAACGTATACTTCTCTCCATACTACTGTACCGGGGAAGACAATCCAACCGGGGGATTGTTGGCTGGTACGCAGGATTTTCGCAAGTCCTACGCGCGCAGACAGTATCATCCCCACACCGGCACTGCCAACGCCATGTGTGATGATACTAAGCAATATACATACTCTTCCCATACACCGGCACTGCCAACGCCATGTATGAGAACAGCAAATCTCATGACCTTCCCACCACACCGACACTGCCAACGCCATGTGTGGGAAGCCTAGTAACCAGGGAATGGTACTCACCTAACATACTCATACATCTCACAACCATCCCTCAAATCATATCTTTCCACAATCTCATAACAACAACTCCTCATACTCCGTACATAGCACAATCTCACCACATCAACTCCTCATACTCTATACATAGGCAATATAGACAGATATCCCAAAATCCATAAAAACATATCCATAATACTCAAACATAGCCATACTCAAAATATATTGCCAATACCTATATGAATATCCAAATCCATCAACCAAATACTCAATAAATCACATTTACCATTTAAAAACATATGCACAAATCTTTTATCAATAAAACCATGCAAATGCTTGAAAACAAAGTCCACTCACAAATAATCCCAAGCTGCCCGGCCCCGTGAGGGTCCCGCCTGCTGCGAGTGATCAACCGAAGTACCTATT